CTTTGTTAGAGAATTTTTTTAAGAAGCAAATTCAATGCCAAAACGAATCATACCTATATCTTCTCCAATCTTTTGCTTAGAGGGATCTCGTCCAGTGCATCTTCGCTTGCCATTGAAACCTTGGGTCTCCTTCCGAAAGCTGCTGCGTCGCGTTCGGCAGTGTGACGAGGAAGCGTGCCCGTTATGGCGTGAATGGGAAGATTGGCTGCTGCGCCTGGGAAGATCGGATGCGCAATAGCATTTGGCCGTAAAACCTATTTCTTAACCTAATTAGGAAAATATAATATTAGGTGTTTATTTAAGGACAAAAAAGAGAATTCATCTCCAAAACTAATAGCACTGCTATTTTGAGTATTAAAGTGCTATTAAAGTGCTATTTTCGTATTTCTCCCTTGTAAGAATGGAGAGGAACATTATTATAGAAGCGAAAGAGCATCTAAAGATTGTTTTTTTATAATTTTTGCGGCACTCATGAAATATTTCTTGCAAGTCATATCGATGATATTTGGTTGCCGTCTTGGAAAGGAAACTTTAGGCGGTGTTTTTTTATCTGTCTCTTTTTCTTCAGTCACACGTTTCAGCGTCTTCGTATGCAAACAAACATATCATTTATTTATTTTTATGTGTATTTTTAATGTTTTTCAGTGTTCAGTCAGTGAATTATTTTAATTCTTATTACGTGATTATTCCAATTCTTATATTTATCATGTAAGATAGGACTCGCAAGTACACTGGACACACTATCCGACCAAGCATTTGGAGCTCGGCACCTTCGTTTGGTTGGTGTTTATTTGCATCGTGCACTTGCCACTCTCTTGTCGGTGTCTATTTTTATTGTGTTAATTTGGGGAAACACGAAACACATCCTCCGTGCAATGCATCAAGATTCTGCTGTGTACAACGTAGCCGGGGTATATCCATTTTACATAATCCCCGGCGTATTCGCTTATGCCACACTACAATATATCGATGATATTTGGTTGACGTCTTGGAAAGGAAACTTTAGACGATGTTTCCTTATCCATCTCTTTTTCTTCGATCACCAGTTTCAACGTCTTGGTAAGCAAATGAACAGATCATTTTTTTATTTTTATGTGTATTTTAATGTTTTTCAGTGTTCAGTCAGTGAATTATTTTAATTCGTATTATGTGATTATTATAATTCTTATATTTAGGGGTGTAAACGGATATTAATCAGATCGGATGTGCCATTACCAAATCTGTATCCGTTTATTTTTGTCAGATATCGAATTCGGATTCGGTTCTTGACGAATACTGGAAATCAAAAGTGTATCCGCATCCGTCGGATATTAGTCGGATATCGTATGTATCCTTATCTGTTTCCAATTTTGAAACATTATTAAACAATACTTTAATTTCTAATTAAACTAAATCAAAATATTATAAAATCAACTGTGAATCTTTATTGGATAATTTTTTTTCTAATTTTTTTATAGTTTATGATATTCTACGATAATTTCATATCATAAAAAGATATACACAGTACATTTAAACACATCTTTCTAATTTTTTTATAGTTTAAGATATTCTACGATACCTTTATATCATAAGAATATATACACAGTACATATATACACATAAAAAGTGTCTACACATATATTTTGCATATAAAAATGTCTTATACTTTGAGATATCAATAGAGAAACAAAATATAAAAATAAAAAATTAGGAAAAACTACATATAACGGATCGGATACACGGAAAAACAATTATTTAAACGGATGTCAATGCGGAGCGGATTATAAATGGATCGGATGTGTGATTACCAAATTCGTATCCGTTTAACAATCGGATACAGATAACAACCATTTTTAACGGATGCGGACTCTGGACAAACTATCCGACCTAGCATTTGGAGCGGATGCGGACACGGATGTGTTTTATAAACGGTTCTTATATTTATCATGTAAGATAGGACTCTCAAGTACACTGGACAAACTATCCGACCAAACATTTAGAGCTCGGCAACTTCGTTTGGTTGGTGTTTATTTGCAGCGTGCACTTGCCACTCTCTTGTCGGTGTGTGTTTTTATTGTGTTAATTTGGGGAAACACAAAACACATCCTCCGTGCAATGCATCAAGATTCTGCTGTGTGCAACGTAGCGGCCGGGGTATATCCATATTACATAATCCCCGGCGTATTTGGTTATGCCATACTACAATGTCTTGTGAAGTTTCTCCAAACTCAAAACAATGTTTTGGCTATGATGATCACCTCCCTTTTGACTCCCTTTGCCATGTCCTTCTGTGTTGGGTGCTGGTTTTAAAATCAGGCCTGGGCTATAGATCGAGGAGCTGCATATTGGATCAACACAGTGCTACTGGGAAATAAATTATATTTGAAGTTCTGCATTAAAAATAACTTATGTTTTAGTCCTATTCAGTGCAAATTTCACTTTTTATATGTTTTTATTTTTCAATGTAGGAGTACCATTGATCATTATCCATTAGTCATTATTCAAGTAAATGTCCACCGTCACTGAGCATTATTCCTCCCACTAGACATTATTAAGTACTATTTTGAGAATATAAAAAAGTTTAAGTTCTAAATTGAGAAATGACTTATGTTTTAGTTCTATTTAGTGCATATTTCACTAAAATAAAGTGTGATTTTGAGAAGGATAAACAAAATACTGTGGAATATTATTATAAAATGGGAGGAAGTATTTATTTAAAGAGTAAATGACGAACATATGTAAGAAAATAAAATTTCATTCCTGATAGTGTAAGTCAGACATTTTTTTCCTAACAATGCAAAACGGATTTGGCTACTCCGTTTTTATTCGAAAATACCTAATCCGTTTGCTTGATTTAATTGCCAAACGGAGTTGGCAAATCCGTTTCGCTATTCTTTATTTATTAATTTTTTTTCCAACAAAGTTGGCTAATCCGTTTGCCCTTTTTTTCTTCATCATGCAAATCCTTTTTTTTCTTTATCATATTAAATCACCTTCCCTTTTTTGCTCAAATATTTTTTGTTACTTATAAATAAATTATAAAATTTAAAAATAAAATATTTTTCTATATCATTAAAATATTTTTGTTCATAATTTTTTTTGATAATTTTATTTATCATTAAATAATATATACTCTAATAAAATTTAATAATAAAACTACTATTTATTAACTTTAAGTAAATTTAATACTCTCTTTGTCCTATTTCAAATTGTCTGTTTGTCTTTGGGAGAAAGACCAAAGTAGGACTAAAACATGGAAGATATACCAAAATAGGACTTCCATGTTTTTATTCCCGAAATAGGACTTACATTACCAAACATGGTCATATACATTACCAAGAAAGTATAGTAATTTGCACATGTACACTGCCACATTACCACAATGCAAAGTCACATTACCACAATGCAAAGTCCTATTCCGGGAAAAAAAACATGAAAGTCCTATTTTGGTACTTTTATCTATGTTTTAGTCCTATTTAGGATGATTTCTATTTGTCTTTTTTCTCTGTCCCAAAATAACTTGCATGTTAGTTGTTTTCGTAAACTTTTAAAAATAAAATACCTAAACTATCCCTAAAATAAGTCACTCTTCTTCACCTTATCTTATCATCACCCCTTCTTAAAAGTAAAGTCAATATCGAAAAATCAACTCTTTTTTTTATTTTCCTTAATTATGCCCAAAAATCAAAACAGGCAATTTAAATTGGGACGGAGGGAGTACAACAAAATTAAAATAAGAAAAAATGTATGAAATTTATTGATAGAGTACATATAATTTATTCCTAAAAAGAAGATTACAAAACACAATATATGACAAACTTATTTGGTAAATTTAATAATACATAAACTCAAACATAACTTAAATTCATGACAAAGTTATTCATCATATCGTTGTGATGTCTTCGTGGTCAATTGTCCATGTTATTCAGATAGCGGGTTCTCGTAGGTCGGCCGGTTCGTGTGCTCTGTCGCGGCGTTAGTCTCGCTATCTCGTACTCTGGAGTAGGTCATTCATTTTCTTGTTGGGACTAATTTTTGGTCCTAATCAGAATATACGTTTTGGTCCAACTTTCTCTGAATTAAGATCCGAATTGAATTAATTGATATATAATTAAAATTACTCTCATATTCAATCAATATTATTAAATTTAAATATTTTTTTCAATAAATCATTTTACAAAAGTTCACATCTTTGACTACTTCTCATTTTATGCAAATTATATATATATATATTTAAAATGTCATAACTGAAAATCTTTATATCAAATTTGTTCATAAAATATACCGTTAGATTCGTCTTTTCGAGACACATCCATAAAAGTCAATCTTAACAAAAATCATTGACTCCAAAAAATCCTACATTTTTAGTCAAACATAGAAACAATGCTTTGTTGGGTCAAATAATTGTTTATAAAATAGAATAACTTCTCGACCATGTTTTGGGACATTACACTTTTTTTAAATTTTATTATTGTATATTTATTTAATGATAAATAAAATTATCAAAAAAATTATGAACAAAAACATTTTAATGATAAATAAAAGTATTTTATTTTTAAGTTTTATAATTTATTTATAAGTGACAAAAATTATTTGAACAAAAAAAAAATTTAAAGTAAAAAATATTTGAACAAATAAGTGAAGGTGATTATGATAAAGAAAACTATAAAAAAAGAAAGAAAAACGGATTAGGCAACTTAGCAAAAAAATGGAATAGTTTTAGCCAACAAATTAATGTGGAACCCAGTAGCCAAACAAGAAAACTATACAAAAAAAAAGGTTGAACGGATTAGCCAAATCCGTTTGGCAATTAAATCAATGAAACGGAGTAGCCTACTCCGTTTGAATAAATAAATTCCTCCAAAACGGATTAGCCAAATCCGGTTGGCATTATTTAGGAAAATGTATATTTGAATTACATATAAAGAAATGCCTTGCACGAGTTTTCAGGGAATCCACCCTTATTTAAATGAGGAGAAAGAAAAATTAATTTAAGTCTTTAACTAATAAATACAGAGTAAGGAGTAGTTTTTTTAAAAAAAAGTAATTTTCGTAGGTGTACTTGTTCCCTTGACTTTCCTCCCTATGCGGGTGGTGTATATATAAAGTAAGCCCTTTGATGACAAAATGTTAGACCACCAAAACCCACATTTCACCTTCATTGGCTTTTACAAAAAAAAAAAAGTTCAATTCTATAGACTATAATACCACACTGTATATGGAGTCACCGTCAAGTGAGACCACGGCAACAACCACCACCAATTCTTCAATGTCTTCCTCTTCTCCGCCGCCTCCCACCACCCCACCACCGCCGGCGGCAACAGTAGTCAGCCCTTGCGCCGCCTGTAAGATCCTAAGGCGGAGGTGCGCCGAGAAATGTGTTCTTGCGCCGTACTTTCCGCCCAATGATCCGATGAAGTTTACCACGGCTCATCGGGTCTTTGGAGCCAGCAACATTATTAAACTCTTACAGGTATGTGTATGTTTCGTCGCGAAATAATAAACAACACGCTTTTATCTTTGTTCTGTTCTAAAATAAAATTTCATTTTCCAGAATATTTGACTAGCTAGTATATATCATTCCTCTCGCAATTTGGAGTATATTATACTCTCTCCAACCCTCTAAATATATTTCTTGTTTTTTTTTGTTTGTGTCAAGTTGAATCATTATTATATATATAGTTCATATTATTTTTCTTAGCTCTTATCTAAATGATTAAATTTAATGACATAGTTTTTGTCTTTGTTTTGAATCGTGCTATATCTCATATTGGACTTTATTCTAAAATTGGGAAGAATAACCAAGAATAATGTGCTTCATATACAAGAGAAAGAGTAGTGCTCTATCTTTTTGTTACGTATAAAAATTGAGTCTAACTAATTAGAGTCATGTTAGGGGTAAACTAAATGGTGTACCATCATCATTATTAATCGTCATTAATTATATATTTATATAAATTGGAAAAATTTAGCCAAAAAAATTGAAAATAATTTGTTGAATAGTAATGTAAATTTAATATCATTCCATTTGATTTAAAATTTAACTTTAAATATCATATTTTTATAAAAACTGATTTGCATATTTGATTATGGGCTTGGGAATGAAAAATATAAAAAAGTGACGTAGTTAGTTTAGAAAAGGCATATTAAAGTCTATATTCAAGTCTATTATCCGTCTAGAAAACGCACCTCTTTTTGCAATTGGGACGTAGTTAGTCAAAGTGAGGAAAGATTGAAATAGAAAAAAGTAGTTGTAAGGGGTGTAGCACCTAAACTTTGTGACCCTATTTTTTTTTTTATATCTAGAGTTCTACTAAGTTCATTTCTCAAAATTTATGCATGAACTCTAACATATATTCACACAGACAATAATTACTTTTTGTGTGCTTAGATAATTGTAATTTTTATTTGTTATATACTTGGTGTGCAACTTGTAAAGACTCACAGTATTTTTTTCTTGCAGTATTTTTTTCCTCCTAAATAAATGCTAATGATATATCTTTAATTTTACAATAATGAAGATTTTAAGCTAGAATAGGGTTCACAAATGAATTGAATTGAAAGATAAAGGAAAAGGAGAAAAGACGAGTTTGGATTGTGGAGATCCAATAAATGTACCAGTAAAGTTACGTTGTTTTTCAAAGAGGTGGCAATTCAAACTTGTTTTAATTTTCTCTACAGTGTGCTGTTTCATTTTCTTTCCTAGGCGTTCACTTTCTTCCACATTATAGTCAAAGAACAATTAAGACAATTTCATATCACCCATTGTGTATACACACACACACTCTTAATTACTAGTCCTAATATTTGATCTTTTTTTTACCATACTCTAAGTTGTAAATGGTGAAATGAGTAAATTTCATAAGGGTCCGTTTGGTACACGGAATTGATAGAATTGAAATTGAATTGGAATTAAAATTTCATGGGATTCAATTCCATAGAATTGAATTCACCAATTCCAATTCATTTTTTGTACTACCAATTCTAAATTCACATAATTTTTGTGCTACCAAACACGAGAATTTGAATTGAATTCCGTGTATCAAACGGGGCCTAAATGATCATTTATGATCTCGAATTATAGTTAGTTTTCTATATTGAGTCTCTCATTCTCTAAAATTAAATAAATGCTCTTTAATTTTAAAAAATTATTTCATTATCGGTCCTTCAAGGACTATACGTGAAAAAATATTTTATTCTTCCGAAGTTATTGTAAGCTAGTTTACCAAATTGTACACAATCTTTATTCGATTTATATAAAAGTACTACATCTGGATGTACATATATTATAATTCGATCTGCACGTATGAAACAAAATAACGGAAACAAAAAAGCAGGAATTGCCAGAGGCGCAGAGGGGGGATGCGGTGAGCAGCATGGTGTACGAGGCGAAGGCGCGACTGAGGGACCCGGTGTACGGCAGCGCGGGCGCCATATGTCACCTTCAAAACCAAGTGAACGAGCTCCAGGCCCAGCTCGCCGTGGCCCAGGCCGAGCTTCTCAACCTCCAACTCCGCCACGCCCACCTCATGGCCATCGTCTACATGGACAACAACAATAATCATAATCATAATCATAGCCTCCCATCATCCTCATCATCCTCATCAAAAACACCACCACCTCCTCCTCATCATCATCGCGTACTGGGGGATGGCGATGGGGAGATGAACTCTGGGCCGAGTAACCGCCTACTCGGCGGCTTCCTGCAGGAAGAGAACAATGTGGTCGTCCTCGAGTCTGATCTTTTCGGGACGACCACAAACAACAACAGTCTACCGGCTAGTTTTATAATCCCTGGCTAGTTGGATTGGGGCATGCGTTGAGTTAATTACTTAATTACATGACATATATTTATGTGTAGAATACATTTTCATAAACATTGTAGTGATTGTACTACGTAGTTGATTAATTAAGTAGCAGTCTACTATGAAAGTGTTTGTTTGGATCGTCTAAAAAGTGAAATAGTTTTAGAAAATTAACAGTGGATTATATTGTGTTGGTGACTTAATACCGACCGAAAATTTCAATAAACGTTGTCAACGAGTTTGAAAGTATAAAATATACGTTTCTTCAACGATATTATAAATTCCTTAAGGGGCAGAGTCCCAGGCAGAGATTGAAGTGTTTTTTATAAATTTAAAGGAATTGAAAATGCTAGAGTCACAAACATATAATTCACAAATTTTACAAACTTGCCTTTTGTGGATTTTAAATTAAAATATTTTTTATTATTTGAGTGCATCTTATTTCTAGGAAAGTGTTAAAAAAGTAAGTTTGTGAATTTTGTGAAGTGTTTGTTTGTGACTCTAGCATTACTCAAATTTAAATGTGGAACTGTAACATTTGAAAAGGTTGGACACTGGTGGAGGATAATTATTATCTCCATGGACAAACTGAGGAATGTGTCGCAAATTTAATCCTACCACTTTTTAAAGGGTTTTATTTTAGTAAATGTGCACACTTTTAGTAATATTTGGGTTCTTCTCCCTAACATTATCTATAGAGCATATGGATTTCAAAAAACAAATCCAAAATCATCATTATGAAAAGGTTTACTGTGATAATAAATACAAAACGTGATGTTTCCAGAAGAAAGAAAACCCCAAAAATTGAGCAGATATATGGCGACAGAGAAAGTAAAGGACTATCATCCAAATTTACTTATGATTAATTAGTAACCTAACGTTGTTACAAGCTAACAACCCTCCAATGTTCGGTAAAAAAAAATTGGGTAATGCCAAAAATTAGGTGTTAATTATCTGGATTTATACGCGGTAGTTCAACTCAAATATTGAATTAGATTGGTCAACTTTTATTACAAAGGAGAAACTTAGTTAATCATTAGATTCACAAATCTATTCTTTTGAAAGCCAACAAAGGATACCATTAATAATTAATTGAGTAAATTTTATAATTGTTTCTTTATAACAGGGGTGTTTCCTTATTTAGTCTTCTATTATCAAATATTACCCAAGTGGTCCTTCTTTTATGGGTACTTTTCTACAAATAGTCCTTTTTTTGATCTTATATCATGTTGGTGTTAATTTGAGGGCTAAAAGTGTAATTTCACAATGATAATATATCTTTTTTGTCATAAACAATTCCAAAGGCTGTTCCGTTTTCGTCGTTTGTGAATTACAGTTGCTTTTTACGACAACTATAGTCTACAAATGTGATCTTTCGCCAGAATCCTATCCCACAATCATAGTCATTATTTTTGTGTTATCCGCTTAACCAATATCAGAACACGTCACTAGACATAATGTTGACGTTAAATTATACTTTTAGCCTTTAAATTAACACCAACACGGCAGAAGATCAAAAAAAGACCATTTGTGGAAAGGTACCCTTAAAAAAAGGACTACGGGGGTAATATTTGATAATAGAGGACTAAATATGGAAATCTCCCTGTTATAAAGGACCAATTATGAAATTTACTCTAATTAATTAATCCAAGAGCAACAATAACGACATCGTTAATTACATCATTCATTACCTTAAAGGCTCCCACCTATTGCACGTTAAAGGGATCGTTGGATGTACACAGTTTGACCCTAATGTTTGAAAATAAAAGCGATTGTTTCTAGATAAATTATGATAAGCCTCAAAATTTGTTTTGATTCTTAACTACTACCAAGTACATTGCTATTAAAGATGCATTAACAATTTTAAAAATTATTAAAGAATCAGTCATTGAAAGGCCTTTTGGACAATCAATGAATACCCTACACTAGACTTCTTCCATCCCACCAAAAACATTCATTATCCCCTCAATACAAGAACAAATGGAGCGAGAAAGAAAACACTCATGGCATATATTAGGACATAGCTTGAAGAATGGCGAATCCAGAAAAAGAAATCACTGGGGGCAAACCTTAAAAATTGGAGGCACTTTTGTAAACTATCAATTTTTTTTAAATATTATACTGCATAAAAAAATTTACTGGGGGCGCGTGCCCCAGTGCGAGTGGCTAGATCGGCCACTGAGCTTGAACAATCAATTTTAAAAACATTTCCTTATCGGCTTTGAAGAGCACATTTCTTTTCCATGAATGGGTCTTTGCCTAATCTTTACATAAATATTGTAAATATTTATGGCGATCCTTCAATCGGGTCTGAGAGAGTCTTTGGAGTTGGAGGTGAAGCTTATCTTTTCATTTCTTTTTTTTGTAAATATTTATGTTGCATCGTACTCTATAAATAAATTTCTTAACCCACTTGTACTCTACAAAAACCCTCCTAACTGAATATCTTTGTAACATCTCCTAATTGAAAGACTGAGAAGTACTCTCTCCCCACAGTTTAAGTCATGTTTATTATTTACAATATCAAACTTTTGTTATATTATTTGTATATTATTGCTACCCATTTGCTAAAACAATAAACTTATCACTTCTTGTTTTGTAGACTTTTTAATGTAGTTTTTAAATATATAAATATTACTTCCTCCGTCCCAAAAAGATTTATACGTTTCAAAAAAATTGCGTCCCACAATCTCCTTCCCATTTCTATTAAAAAACCAATTTTATCCCTTACTTTTTCAAACCCTACCTATCACATCATACCTTTTTCCTAATAATCTACGCATCACATCCTACTTTTACCCATCACATCAAGGGTATTTTTGGAAAGTCAACACAAAATTATCCCTCCCTTAATTTCAACTTTAATCAAAATGTGTAAATCTTTTTGGAACGGAGGTAGTATTTTTTTAATTTCACATTAATTTTCAAGTATATATCAAGTTAAACATAATTTCAGTCAAATCTCGTAAACAACAACATGCAATTTAAATTGTGAGAGAGTAAGTACAATCTTTCAATTAAATTCAACGTTACACCTCATTTCAAATTTGTTCTACTTATTTCACGATTCTTTAGGTGAACAACTAACCGTTTTTTTCAACTTATAATAAATTTAAAAAGTAATACCATAAAATAACGTTGTGAGACATCTTTTACAAATAAATTTTTAATAATACTCCCTCCGTCCGGAAATATTCTTCCCATTTTCCTTTTTGGTCCGTCCGGAAATAATCTTCTCATTTCCTTTTTTAGTATGCTTTTTAAGGCTAAATATTAGTAATACCCTTCTATGTTATCACAAATCTACTTTTTTAATACTTTTTTAATAATAAAAGAAGATTTAAAAGTTTATAGAATGTGCATTTTTGAAAATTTTGCATTTTTTTTACTATTCCTTAATAAGCGTGGCAAGTCAACATGGGAAGAACATTTCCGGACGGAGAGAGTAACTTTTTGCAATATATTGCAATTATTATAATTAAATACTGTCAAATATTCTCTCCGTCCTAAAAATAATTGTCAATTACTATTCATTGGTCAAATTAACTTCATTCTTATACGTTTTCATCGATTATCTAACAAAATATATATAATAATTTTGTCACTATTTGTTTACTTGTTTTATAGAGTTTTTAATGTAATTTTTTAATATAAATTTTTTTTTATTTCTACCCCAATATTAATTGAAGATTATATTAAGTCAAATTTTATAAACCAATTCAAACAGAAATCTTATTTTAGAAAAGAGGGATTATTATAAGATTTGAATAAAAAAAACTCAAATGGAAGGAAGACGAACGGATCGTATTATTTAAATTTTAAATGCGGAAAGAAATTTGCACGTTGAAGGTGGCAATTAATGATCAATGCTTTCTCAGTTGAAATATGGTCTGCACTGCACGTCTGTGCCACATATTTATATAGAATTAAGCTAGGGGTACACCAACATAAGGTACCCCAAGCGTACACCAAAGTCAATACAGACACATACAGACACAAAGTTTCTGTGTTGCACAGACATTTTGTGTTTGTGTGTGTCTGTGTTGGTTTGGTGTACACTTGGGGTACCCCATGTTGGTGTACCCCTAGCATTGCCCATTTATATAATATTGAAATTACATTCATATATGCAACCAACAGCTATGCTATAGTAAAAAAAAGATAATTCTACATTGGTCCTTCAACTTTGTAAATTGTACACGATTAGTTCTTCGAATTTCAAAAGTCCATAAATACTCCTTCGTATTTTAAATATTTATCAACCTCCAAATGCAGTTCTTTAATAAAAGTTCATAATAGTCCTTTAAGTATTTATCAACCCTCCAAATGCAGTTCTTTTTACAGTAAACATTAAAAATTAAATGGATTATTAGCTCCATATATATGACTTCTGACTTGCAATGGTGTCAGATGCAAGTAGCTCCATATATATAACTATCTCCATATATATAACTTCTGCAACAGTGCTTAATGCAACTTCCGACTTTGCAATGGGTGTCCGCCATTAGTGGGGGATCCACTTTGCATTAGTTGGAGGCAATGGCCCCCTACTACTTTTTTTTTGTACTTTGATTTTTTTAATTTTTTTAAAGTTATATTATTAATGACTTGAACTATAAAATATTATAGACCCCAATTAAAAATTAAAGACCTCAATAGATAGTGTTAAGTGATAAAAACATGATAGAATTTAAATATTTAAATATTTAAATATTTAAATAATAGAATATTTAATTAAAATTTTTAAAAAATCAAAATAAAATCTAAAGTGAAACACTAAAAATGTATACATAGTAATAATTAAGAGCATGATGCCCCCTACTCTCTAAGTTTCTGCGTCCGCCACTGTCCGCCGTTGGCCCCAACCTCCAAGTAGCGCAACGCAGTGGATCTTTCCCTCCCATTGTAAATGCTGGGGATAAGTTTACTTTCGAAGTGGATCAAATTGAATAGTAAAGTACACAAAATTTTGATTGGAATTGCGAGAACCCATTAAGTTCGTATACATTAAAACACAATCACCAGCGTATAAGTACAAGTATTCTGTATTAGATGTGTGTGTGTACCGTAAAAAGATCTTCATTTTGAGGATTGATTACTTGAAGGACTACTTAAGTATTTTTGAAACTTGAAAGACTCCATTTGAAGGGTTGAATACTTGAAAAACTATTATTAATGGAGTTTTGAAATTTGAAAGACCAATCATGCATAACTCATAAAGTTAAAGAACCAAGTGTGAATTTTAACCTAAAAAATTTACTCCAGAATTTGACTGTGAAGAGTAAAAAGAAAGATTGAAAAGGCAAAAGGTAATAATTGAGAAATATTTTTAAAATTAAAAAGTTGTATGCAAAAAGCCCACATGAACCCAAGGTGTATGATAGTAACACGAGTAGACGACAGAATACAGATTTTACATTATTGATAACATTTGGATAGAAATTAGTGTCATTATGGACAACACACCCAATAGGCATCGTAAGCATAGTTGGTGTAGTCGGTAGTATAATCAAAGCACCAATTCATCCCGAGCGAGTTCGGGGAATTATTCATATACTTAGGATTAATATAAATTTTCCTGTGATGTGAATGAGAAAGTTTGAAAGAAAAGGGTTAAGATTATGTGTGCTAGGGTATATATGTGTCACTTATTTTTAGTGATGGGTGGTCTATTAAACGTGTTATGCAAGTTGTTATGACACCATGTCAATGGGGAGTTTTTCACATCACGCACAAGCAATAACATCTAAAGAACACAAGAAGAATTGAGAAAAAAAAATCTCCTAAAATGCAAAAGTACGTGTGTATAATATAGCCCTTCACTAGATCGTTGAAAAGCCAAACACGAAACTCACACAAACTCAAAATGCATTTCTAATCACTAAATTGTTGCAATTTTTCCTAATAACTTTATGTGCAAACCTCCTGATTACACAAGTGAATTTATCACACAAGTGTCTCTCTGATTACAACACTTCTCCCGGTCAACAAAATACAACAGCTAGACCACAACCTCAGGGCTTGCGGCATAGGATCATGTGTGAATTATGGTTTGAACGGGCATGTGCATGTGATATCGTTTTAGCTTGTGTTTGTTGTGTTTTCATTATGGGTGTATGTGTCATGCAATCACCGAACCATCACGGTTCAAAACAATGAAACGGTAAAAATGACCCCCCAACTAACTGTAAATCATAAATTGTACATGTAGGGATCGCCTTTGTGCTTTGAGTATATAGGAAGCTCAAGGGCTTTCTCTGCAATTCTTCTATCTTCATGAATCTTTGCAATCAAGCTCTCAAGCGATGGAAAGTTTGCCTAGCATGTGTTGTTTTAAAGGCATTACTATTATTGTCGTTACCGGAAAAAAGAGAGAACATAGACATAACCAAGGCATGAAAAGTACATGCTACCTCAGGGCGTATATAGCCGACAATGACAAGGTGCAATTCTTCACCGTAGAAGTCCTCATTGAAGTCATGTAGCAGCCATGGCTCCTAAAAGAACATATTTTTCAAAATGTTTTTATTATTATTATTATGAAGATCTGCCGAAATGTGTGTAATTCTGCAGTATATGTATTGGATCATTCATTTGAATATGTACGATACTCACAATGGTCTTCTCGGTGTTATTGAAGTATGGGTTCCAGCCAATACTCATGACCATTTTATATATACCACGAGTAGATAAAGCAGCCCACCCAAAATACACACCTGATGGATGTTCTGATAGCACATCTGAGTAACCGTCGGTTGATAAATTGGCTGAAAATGTAATAAGAATTACTTATCACTAGAAGTAAGGATGGTGCTATTTTTTTATCAAAAACAAAAGAGAAATTAACTAGCCATTGGTTCTCCAATATCCCAGTTTATCGACTACGGGATTTCGGGCCACATAAAAATGAATATGTCTCACTTTTGGTTTTCCAACTAGTGTCATTTCTCCACTTTTAATCATCGACTCTAACTTCTTCCAATTTTACCTGAGCTTTAAAATTATGACACTTTTGGCACAAAATATCCACAGTTTTCTATTCACTATAGTGAAAATCTATAAAATGCTTACAGTGTGTGGAATTTTGATATTTTGATTATTGAACCAAAACCAGAACAATTCAAGGATTATAAGTGGAAGAAAATAGAGGAATATACGCAAATGAACATGGAGTGCCATTTTAAATGCCAGTTTACAGGATAATAACATCATTTTTGTGCATAAAGCTCATGGCAATTCTAAGCAATAAATTAGTAATTCTGTTTGAATACCTGTTGGGATCCCCAGCACCTTGGAGCCACGCCCAAATCCCCTAGTGACAGGACCACCTATATGCCAAGTCTCTATAGGCAAAGTTCCTTCTACCCCTGCACAAAGAATTCCTGTCCCAGGTAAGAACTCAAACGTTATTTGATAAGCTCAAGATGGTTAGAGTACCATACAATCTTGAAATGCAGGCAGGCCCCACTTTTCTGGGTGCAAATCAAGAAGTGAATTGATAACCTCATCAGCTGAACTGCATAAATGGGACTGTTTAGGGAGAGATGGTACGGCAACCACATCCATTTCAGCAGCCTTACCTGCAGTAACACCGGGTCTGACATAGACAACATTCCATTTTAGGATTAAGGTTACTAATTACATACTACTCCCATCCAATAAAAAAGATGCAACTTTCAATATTTTGGTAAAGTAAATCATAAATACTCCATCCGCCCCTTAATAAAGTTCACAATTTCCGTTTACGATGTTTGACCACAGTTATTTTGATTTAGTTTATCTAAATATTAGTGTAAATTCAAAAATATTATTTACATACTTAAAAACTACAACAAAAGTTCTATAAAAACGAGTGGTGACAAGACTTATTTTTTGTAACAAATGATCAAAATAATTAAGTAAAGAAAGATGTAATAGTTTGGCACTTTGACTCAATAAATAGTGAAGAGTGACTATGAAACTTACTAGAGACGGAGAGTGTACTACTTATGCTTTCCGAATTCACTTGTTGGTTCTACTAAATTTATGAAGGGGAATGTTGCCACAATGGATGGAGGTGCTGCCACATGAATTTGAGATCACAGGTTCCGGTCGTGGACTCTGTCCACTACACATGTGACATACATGTGATCCACTAAGTGGGACCAGCCCTTCTCTAGACCCCATCCATATCAGGAGCTCTTATAGCATAAGGTTGCCCCTTTCAACCAAATCTATGATCTGTAACTCTCTCCATGTATTTATGTTGACAAATTACATGATCAAAGCCACTACTTAAACGCTTTCAAGTAATATCTTATTAAATGCTAGGCACAAATACCGTTCTAACAACCTATTGTACAAGAGTTTGCTTTATTATATATACATCCCAGTAACTCAATTAATGTCTTGCTTGTGAAAGAAATTAGATCATAAACTATGATATCATGTAACTTGTTTGGTGAATACTCACAATGAATCCTCGATGACAAGGCAACTGGATGGATGTACACCAAGTCTTTTAGCCGCTTCAAGAAAACTTGAACAAGAGAACAGAAATATATAACGTCATCAGATGAGAATATAATGTAAAGCATCGGAGTAAGAAAGATTCGATCATATACATTTCAGGATTTGGTTTTCCAGCTGTAACTTCATCACCTCCCACAATGGCAGAAAAGGAATCCCTCCAGCCTATATCAAGTAATTATACTCTAAAATAAGCAAACCAATCGGCATTCTTGACATAACGTATTTGCATTATTATACGGCCTACTTGCCTACTCTTGAGACAGGCAAGAGGTCTGAATATTTACATGGTTTTAGCATCAACTACCTTTATGGTAAGAAATTTTTTTCTCTATGTTTGACTTTGGAGAATTGGAAGCCAAAGCCATTAGCACACCATGGCTCTTGAAATGATTAATCAATCGATTGGCACCAGGAAGAGCCTTAATATTGGACCACCTGCAATTAGGATTAACAATAAAATTCACAACCCTAAAATTAAGATTGGACCGCGTTCAATAGTATTAAATATATTGTTCTCTTCCTACAATGACAAGAAGTCACCAACCCAGTGGAATCCCATGAATGGGGCCTGCAGAGGCAGAGGATACATAGACCTTACCCCTACCTTGAGAAGGCAAAAAGAATTTGTTTTCTAAAGATACCCGGGCTCAAGCAGTATATATGAAAAGAAAAAATTTAAATTTAAATGAACAACAACAACAACAACAACAATAATAATAATTCTGATTTGAGATTTGAAATTAATAATTAGACATTATGAGACTATTTCCTCAGGTACAAGAACTGTTTTTTTTAAATACTCAATTACTTTAAGTCGTGACAAGTGATATTGTGAGTCATTTATGATTGACATCTTCTAATAATCTGATGAATTTTCTGCTAGGAGGCTAGGGCAACTTCAACATATAACTTACTCAAGAAACAGAAATGCTTGTATGATTGTATATTACCGCTCCGAAAACATTGGAGTAATTTGTGAAAGAAATTCTTCTTTAGTTACGGGAATATCATAATCTTCAACAACCATAGCTGCAGCCTCCACAGGTGTCTTCCCCACTATTTTGTGGGCTTCTCTTCCATCCCATTGCTTTCCATAGTTAACGAGGAACACTTTTAGAATATCAGTCACAATGCCATCTGTCAGAAAATAAAATTCAGTAAGAAACTGGTGTGCACAGAGCACTAACAAAAGGTGAAGATAGAGAATCTCAAATATTAAGAAAATGTTACTCCAAACATGTTGTTCTACATGAAAACATCAAGTATAGAATTTATCAAGGATGTCAAGGACTAGCATTGTAAATCATTTATTATCCCAATGGATACATTTCTATTGGTTTCTCACAGCATAGAGTTCAAAACACATCAGATTTCCTTTGACATAAAGCATTTCATACCAAATTACAAATCGCATTTATGCAGAAGAAAATTTTGTAATCTCTATACTGGAAGATTTCACCTATGTAAATTATTCAACAAAAATACAAATCATAGAGTATATGACATGAGTATGCAATGCCTACTAATCACGAAAGGGTACTATTAAATGTTAGGTTAAAATACATCCCATATTGCAACTTTTCACTTTTACAGTTAGTGCAATACAACGTTGGATCATGGAAATGCCTCAAATGAACAGATAAGTTGTGGCCCACTGGCTCATAACTAGTGTACGTGTTTGTTTTCAATCAGTTACATAGGAAGACAGCAGATCACCTGTGTTAATAAGTGTACCATCCAAATCAAGGATAACACAAGATACTAGTTTCTTCAAAGGTTTAACAACTGACATAGTGAATAACAGTGTGTACCAAAACAAGCTGCTTATGCACCTGCAATAACATATATAAACCTTCTTGTTAGTTTTCAAAAAGACTTGAGAATTAATGGATAAAAAACCGACAAACATCTTTAGGCTCTGTTTGTTTGCAAAACTATAATTTTCCTGGACAATGCTTTCTGATTTTCTGGCGTTTTGGCAGAGTAAATCATTTTCTGAAAGGCATTCCACAAGGATACTTTGTTCACAATGAACTGGGAAATCATTTTTCAATTCATGTTTTTTTATTTTTGCAGGTCAAACATTATATTGTGCTAAGAACTTATTTTCCAAAAGAGCATTCTCCATGGCAAACATTATCCTGGGAAGAGTTTCCGGCAACAGGTCATTGCCCTTGAAACAAATGGGGCCATTTGAACATTATAAGACTGAAGAAAACAGAGTGTATATTCATTTATGCAAACCTTGTTGCATGAAAAAAAGTGATTGTTTATGATATACGACATCAGTCCATCAACCATCAATACTTCATGTTGATAGATTAATGATTAAACAAATTTGTTCATAGAATATAAATAAACAAATCACTTCTGAAGAAGAAGGCAATTGATGTGAAATTCCACGGTTTTCTTCAATATCACTATAAATTTCTACTGTTCATATAACTCAAGAAAGTTCAATATCATAAACCGTAGAAAAAATATAGACCAAATTTCTTTATTAAGAATGGCCTAAAGCGAACGTGAAATATAAAATATCCTGTAATCTTTCTCTATCTCTCTTCCACTTTACTCCTAAGGAAATACTACCTCCGTCTTAGAAGACTCGTCTAGTTTGACTTTATTTTCTTCAAATCGTATGAACTCTTATAATCAATTACATTAAACTTGTATTGCATACTAATAAAGCAAAATAAATTTCTGATAGTCTTCCGCAGAATAAATATAATGAAATCATTTGTTACTAATATCACATAGAATTTTCATTTAACTAATGATCAATACTCGGGGATGGAGGTGGTAATTGTTTTCACAAAACGTCTCTCTTCTGCATAAACCTCATACCTGAATCCCACAACAATCGCTTTTCTTAATAAAGTTATGTAACCTTAGCTGGGAATCAATGGAGTATATACCAAAACAAATCTACCTAAAGTGACTTGCTAATTGGCTAATCCCAGAGTAAAAACAAGGGATAAGTGTCTGAAAACTGGTTCTTATGTATGGCGTAACCTGTTAGCTGGTTAGGGCTTCAAGCTCCAATATTGTAATATCGGAGAAGACAGGGGCGGACCGGCGGAGGCAAGGCGGTCTGGTGGCGGATTGTCTTGGCGCCGAGCAGTGGGGATGCGTGGGTTGCTTGGCTTAGATGTCTCTTCAAGATGAATAAAAAAACGGTACTGAGAGCTATGCCTTCTTCGGGAACAGATTGCGGTGGTGGTTCAGTCGGTGGAGGCGTGGAGCATGATGGTACCTCGTAAGTCGTACCCAAACGGTATCAAAGAAGGGTGTATTGGAGTCGTTTTTTGGATTTTCAAAATTGGAAGGTCTAGATTTTTTAAAATTTTTAAAAATCTTGAGATATTTAATAAGGATTTTAAAAAGTCTTAAAAAATCTTTAGGTATTTAATAGTCAATGAATTTTAATATTCCATAGATTTTGTTGGATGTCTCCCAAAATACTGCTTATCTCAAATTCATTCTCAAAACATTAGATTTTTATGGACTTTTGGAAGAAGCAATTGTGCAGATGAAGTAGATTTGGTTTGTGGAGGCCGCCACTAGTGAGTCCCGACTCTGAAGACGGGAGTGATTGCGGCTACATCACCCATCTCAGTTTCAACCTCGGTGAGAATAAAAAGATGCCGAAGATATTTGGCCGGTTCTAGGATTCCTTGACAGATGATGACGACGACGAGGTGGGAGGCCACCATATTCTTCTTCTTGAATTTGTAGGCTAGGGCGGCGGTAGTGTGAACTCAAGGACTAGGCAGCAACTCACAAGGGGAGGCCACCATTCCTTGAACTAAGGCCTCATCCCCTGATAAAAACTCAAATTGGGCGTTTCTGGAATGGAGTGACGCTCTTTTTGGATGACTCAATAGAAATCCATGGAGTCTATGAAATTCATGAAAATCAATAGAAAAATTGGACAAACTCTACATCGAGTCTATGGATTTTCTAAATTCACTAATTTTTTATAGTCTAAAAAAAATCAATACAATCTCAATTGAATACACCCTCCTAAGTTTCTGTACTACGATAGTCACGACTCACGATACAGATCATGAAATTTTTTCTTTAGGTTCGTTCTCTATGTACAGATTATCATTTTTTTATTACTCACAATTCTATTAAAATGCAATATCTTTTTATATATTCTCAATTTATTAAATTTGTAGAAATAATATCTTGACTGTATCGACTACGTGAACTCTCATTTGGAAAAGCCATAGGAATGTTATTGGACTACAAAGATTAATATATAAATTTACGGATTAACAAAAAATCTTATTTTTTAAAAGATTGAAATAAAAGATAAAGAACACTTAAATAAATAAACATGCAAAAATTGAAAAATGAATAATTAAATGCAAGATTAGGTCTTGTTCTTTTGGTTTGAAAAGACTATCTTCCAACTCCTTCCAGCTTCTTCCAACTTCTTTTAACTCCTTCCAATTTCTTCCAATAATGACTTAAAGAGATATTTATATATGACTAATATAAAATAACAATATATATATATATATATCCAAATGTATAATATATCACCTCAAATATGGACAATAACAAATTCTTTTTTATCTAAAAATAAAGTTTTCTTACATCGTATTTATTTAGATGATTATTTATTTATTTAATTGAGTGACTTTTTAACACTTAAATTCTTCCCAAGTTTTTTAACTCCTTCCATTTTCTTTTAATTCTTTCCAATTTCTTCCAACTTCTTCCCGTTTCTTTTAACATCCAATTCTAAAATTTCAATCCAAAACAATAGGATCTTAGTTTATACTCCATCTATCCTAGTTGTTAAGGAATGTAGTAGGGTTTGTTGTTAACGGGCTTATTCTTGTTGGGCTCGTAATTAGGTCATGGTCTTGTAGCTATTATAAATACCGGATCTATGTATAATCAGAACATTCAAGTTTAGATCTAATTATATTTCTACATGGTATCGGAGCCAAATCTTGAGAAAATCTAAAATCCTAGTTTCCTCTAGTTTGCCGCTTCTGCCGCCGCCGCCGCTGTGATTTGTCTGGCGACGGCGGCTTCGCAATTAGATCTCGTTCTTGTCATAGCCTGTGTGATCCAATCTTCAACATCATTCCGATCGAGTTACCCAATTGTTCTTGGGCAACACAATTTTGAGTCGCAGTCATTAAAAAAATGTGGCCGCAAGGTTTGCTCGCTCCTCATATCTTTGTTCCAACCACTATCCTGGGTCAATCTCAAATCAAGTATCAAATCATCAATCTCTATTTTGCTGGGATTTGCTATTCCGCCACAAAGTCCCTCTATCAAATGTCCGTAACCGGTGTTGTGCGTTAAGAGTGTCCCAGATCTGCTCATCCACCGGAAACGTCTCAAGTCCTCCGTAGTCGTCCGGTGTGGTATCTCCGTCAATTCATGTGTTCCTTGGGTGTAATTTGTTGGGTGAAGTATGTTAATTGGCAGCTGCATCAATTTTACTTAAAAAAAGAAGGGACTTTTGTTTTAGCATATTCTTCGCCGGGTATTTGATCTGTGTGGTTATTGGTTTTGGCTTGATTTGTTCGTGCTTCCAGGAAGAAGGTATTTATGTTCACTCTACTGTTCATTGAAATTTGATGACGTTTTGGCGACATTATTTTTGGTTGCTATTTGGTATGTTCCAGTGCAACTAGTTGTATGTTCGGCATGTGTGTTTGTGAGATTGGTCGCATAGTCGCGCCTCAATCCGACACATCAATTTGTGAGGTTGGTCGCATAGTCGCGCCTCAGTCTGGCAACACAGCCTCCAAGTTTGGGATGCATGTTAGTCGTCCCCGTGTCACCGCGTGGGAGTCATTCGTCATCAAAATTTATTGTTCGTTTGCAGGGCCGGTCACCTTCCTTCGTCGTTGTCACAACAGATCAATTTCAAGTTGTTTATCAAGTTTTTTTAGTCATTATTTTTTTAATTGTCCAAGTTGGCATTCGTTAACCTCATGCTCAACTTGAGGGGGAGTGTTAAGGAATGTAGTATGGTTTGTTTTCAATTTTCAATTAAATTGAAAATAAAGTCACTCAAAACCCGTAATTCGTAATGGGAAGATCTTTAGTGGACTGAGGGAGTGGTAAAGGATAAAGGACTTGTACATACCTTTTTTTTTCTTTCCCAAATAGAAGATTATTAATTAATGATTCTACTAAATCTATTTGATTGAATGAATATTGTGACTCGATATCTAGAATAAAAATAGACCATTAGAGTATTATTACACATACTGAAAATAATCAGATATAAAATTAAATCTAAGATTAATTCTAACAATCAGCTCGCATAATAATTAGGCAACCGTTAAAATTTCATTTGGCATGGATCATATAGCACACCTCTTGATATTCTAATTACGTACAATTATGTTTTGTCAAGGGTGATCTATTTTTTTAAAATGTAGATACTTCACTTCACTTCTTGATGCTTCGAGATCGAGTCTTCAATCTAATAAAGTCACTTCAACTCCTCCCTGTATTGATTTAATCATTTTAATTTTAATACCTAGACCGTTGAAGATTTTAATTTTACATATACAAACAACAATTCAATTTGGCAATAGTCTCTAAAGGCATCGTTCTTTGTAATATACTCCCTCCATCCTAAAATTTTCTTCCCAGAGCACTATTCTAACTTCACGGGAATTTATATTTATTTGTGTTTTTTCATGGCTTATATGATAAAATAAAATATTCTTGTCACCACTTGTTTTGTTGAACTTTTGATGTAGTTTTTAAATATGTATGTTTTATTTTTTATTTCTATACCAATATTTAAATAAAATAGATTGAAAAAACTTGGGATTTTTCTTCGTTTTGCGCAACGGGAAGAAAGATATAGGACGGATGGAGTAATTAATATTTATTCCTAAAAGTATAGAAAGGTAATGCTTAATTAAAAACTATGTATTTTAAAACGGCCCGGTTCCAGTGCCACTAGAATCCGGTGCCACTCCGGTGCCACTGGCATTTTGGGGCACCTCCGGTGCTCTGTTCGCAAAATTGACGGTTCCTACCCCTCCTAACCCATCCCCTAAACCCCCCACCCTACCCTC